TGAATATCCAGTATGAAATAATAAAACCCAACTTAATTTTTTGACAAGGCAAGATTATCTCCTGCTCTTTCAGACCCTACCAAGTATAACAAATTAAAGGAGGAAACTTAAACATAAGATTTGACAGTTAACTTTTCCACCATATATAAGCAGTATAGTAAGGATTTTCCCAAGTCCTTAAAGGTTGGCAATATAATCTCATGTCTTCTTACATTCCCAAAACTTCTAATGATGTGCCAGACACAAAATTTTAAAGCTGAGTTTTCAAACATGGCTCCTAATTTGGGAATACATACTGAGGCTGGCTTGCCCTATTTATCTCTCAGCCTCTGGGGTACATATAACACATACGCCTGGAACCATCTTTCACCTGAAGAGCTTTAATTTATCTGCTTTCACAGCTATGATATTTTATTACTATATAGTAAGATACTTCATAGTGATCCTTAAGTGGCATAGCAACTATAAAGCATCACAAATGAAAAGGACTGTATCACTTCTACTGTTGTTAAAGTTACTTTATCACTTCCAAATTATCCTCTTTCCTTCTGTCAGCCAAACAGTGTGTACATTTAGGGAGCAAAGAAATATGGCAGATCGCTATCATTATTATTCTTTATGCTGAAAGCATATAAATTGTTTAGATGCTTTACCTTCCCCAGCCCACTTGATAAATATAATGGAAGTGACAAATGATCCCCCCTAAGCCCAATTAAAACCACATCTAACCTACTCTCCCCCATAATTTCAAATAACATTTAATGATAATGAAAATTTTTATTAGTTTGGGCAGCTGAAATGAAGCAACGGGCTTGGGCATATGAAGTGGAATTTTAAAGGGCTTTGTTTTTCTGACTAGTGCCTATAAACTACTACTTTACCCCCTACAAGATTTATGAGATAATAGTTTGACTATGCAGCATTTAGCAAGACACCCACATTTCTTACATGTGTGAAATTTATACAGCTGTTCTAGAAGAAGTGGGGAGGCTTCAACACCTGCTTGACTTTTTGGAAGAGCTTAAAATAAACACTTCACACTGGATCGTCTCACCAGGTTAAAGTCTTCATTAGAAGTTAATTTCTCAGCCTGAAACTACAATACTAGTTTCAATCTACTGACTTTGTGTAGCGTTATACCAATAAATCTTTGCACTTATTTAAGTGCTTTTCATTTGAGGATTTTTATGCAAGCTAATTCCCTAATTCCAATGCATAAAATGTTGGTGTTTTTGTGTCATTAGACATTTAGGTAAGGCCTTCTTGTTGTTTAAAGATGATACATTTTATTTGTTGTCATCATAGTGTTTCTTAATTAAATGTATATTCTATTACTTAGTTTCCCTACTGGATAGATACATCACTTCAGTCTTATTGGTCTAAATTCTGAGTTATTTTGCCAGCCCATTCTATACCCCCCACCACTCATTGCTTCACAAATTGGCCTGAATATTAGGAAATCTTTTAAATACTGTTCAGTGCAAGGAATAACAGTTCAGGTCCAGACTGTTTAAAATCCATAATCACATAAGAATTGAAAAAATGACTTACCTATAGTAGCATTTCCCAATCTGAACCTTCCACCACCAGTCCTTATATTGTGCATGTTCTGTTGCATGTGCTGCCAAATCTAAAGCCTTTAAAGAAAGCCACACACCTTAAAATAGACATTTTCAGCTTTGAACAAGGAAAACTAAAAAGACAAATGTCATCAGTAAAGAGTAATAACATTAAATAATCAAAATAAGGTGTTTTTTTCCCAACCTCATCGTCAAACTGAGGAGGGAATGTTATTATTTCTGTTATGCCATGTAGTCTGAAGCATAAACTATTTGAAAGGATTATCTCTCCATATGGCAGCATATAATCATACATGCTTCTTAGCATTTAAATAAGGTTGAAAAAAAGAGAGGGAACACATTTAATCAGACTGCTGAACTGCTGCTTTTTAGACTGAAGAATTCCCCAAGTATGTGTTTATGTATATTTTTTAGGCTTTCTGTCATCCTTGAGCAAAATTTACTGGAACCGATATATTTTTTTTCTTTAAATCCCAATCTGCTTCTTTTTTGGGATAATACACAAATGACCTATTTTTTGGTGATGTATTGGGCCTTTTCCACCTGGATCATTAGAGTAGTTTAAAGTATTGCAGTGAGAAATAATGCTTCCTTTGGACTTTTTATTGCTTGTGATTAAAATCAGGAACTATCAGGAATAGTTCTCTCCACCCAAATCTCCACCATCAAATAAGCCTAAAATCAGAAACTCCACTATCAGATAGTCAACAGACTGTGCTTAAACAGGAGCCAACAGAATGATCTTATTGCCAGGGATGAAATAACTGAAAAGCTAGAGTTTTATCTTTTTTTTCTATTTTTAATCTCTTCTTTCAAGACATGATATAGTGTATTGAAAGAATCAGTGTGCACTCCACTGACAAGCTAAGAGATAAGTAAGGTACAGGTTTATTTTAAATTCCGTTTTACACCAAACACAAGATGTCAGAGAGTATCAACTACCCCTTACGCTACTACTGTTATTGCAATAGCATCAGAAGCAGCTTAAAAAGCTTTTAAGCAAAATGTTATAAAATGGATATATTAAGTGGTTAATCTGTAAATGTGTCCATATTTGTCTGGCTCAGAGCTGATTTGATCTTTTCATAAATATTTCTCCAGAACCACACACATCAAAAAAGGAAAATAAGTCATGGGTTATCTAATCCACCACCACAGGGTCAGTCAGTGCAGTTCTCCAACATATGTGCGTGCATTTTTTGTTTTGTTTTGTTTGTTTGCACTGAACGATGTATACATAGATCAGGTTAACCAGGTAATTTTTACGATAATATAGCCTGGATATTTGAAACCTAGGCTGACCTAGTGTCAAAGGTCTCTGATTATTTTCCCAGTTCTTCAGTTACCAAAACAAGACTTTTATGATGGCAATAGGTCAGTTCTCCAGATGATGAAAATTTGACATAGCTCAATAAAGTCAATGCAGCTATGAACATTCCTCACAAATTTCTGGCCTGGCAGAAACAGTTCTTGGGAAAAGCATGACTTGCTTTACCTAATAAAACACCTTCAAGCCAAATAAATTATCACATTAATCAACTCCTGAACAATTATCAGTCACAAAAATGTCAGCCATGCAACACACAGGCAGAAACTTATGTCCATGTGGAACTCATCAAAAATCACCAGACTGCCCTGAGAAGCTTAAAATTAAGGTCTTTATTCAGCACAAACAGTGGAGTTCTCCAATATTTGTTCATGGCCCACCAGTAGGTCACTGTGGCTATAATAATGAATAAGGGGAGGGACCTTTGAGAGGAACTGCAAACCACACACTGAAAAGAGAAAGGCCAAGGGCCAGATGTTTGACACCCTTTGAAGCATGAAAACTTAACCCAGACTATTCAAAATAGGACACCACTAACAGCAAGAGAGGAACTGGTTTGGATGGCTAAGGGAAATATTGTAAGTAGAAATAAGGGATTGAACTTAAAACTGGATAAAGCACCATAGATTTTTTTCTGATATTTACCCTTACTGTAAAATCTACAGGTTCCAAGATGCTGCTCTTAGAGAATTTTTTTCAACCTGTCTCCCTGCTTCTTATTAATCCAAGCACTATGGCACACAAAAGCAACTCAGTTGTTTGGAGCACATATAAAAGTGCCCTATAGTGTTACTGTGCTAGCTTAGTAAAAGTGCCCTATAGTGTTACTGTACTAGCTTAGTTTCTGATAACAGAAGTATAAATATATTTTAGTATATTTGACATTATACATTTAATAAGGAGTTTCTTAAAACTACAGGTTTGCCATCCTATGAAATAAGGTAATATTAGATGCTTTGGCACAGCTGAACACTAACAGACATGACAGTAAGATTTAGGAACAAGAAAAAAAATTGTATAGATTACTTACGTTCTTAACGTCATTTTCATGGTGAAAAATGTATTCAAACAATGCCTGTCAGGAAAACATTTAAGCCATTGTCATAGCTGAAGAAAAAAGTTATTACCTTTATATAGTCAACACCTTGGTTTTTGCAACTGTAATAGTTACCAAAGAATTTTCTAAAATAGCAAACACATTTACATATCACCACTTTTTGAAATATTAAATGAACTTCATGAATTAGATAAAGCCTATGGATGTGCTGGATAGTCATTACAGAGGAGATCTTGAGTTTGTGATTCCTACTACATTATAAAATGAGTGGGGTTATCAATATGTGATTGTTTTCCATCAGACATTTTTAAAAAGTGTTGGAATTTTAAAAGTGAATGTAAAAATGAAATTTTGTGATTCCATAGTTATGGTCTTTCAATATTTGGCTAAAGGGGTTGATCCTGCAGAGATTTTTATTTGTGCTTTAATTTTGCATGCTGTAAGTAGTCACGAGGCAATAGAATTTAAGCAAAGGCACAAGTCTGTTAAGGACCAAAGTCCATATTTTCTCAGTTTAGAAAAGAAAAAAATGGCTTTTAAAACTATTAGTGCTCAATATCCAACAAATCTGGAATCAAGTCAAGTGTAGCTGATTTTGGCTTGCAAATTATCTCCAGAAATAAGAGTTTGAAATGGAAGTCTGGCTAACACATCTGACAATGGACTAAAAAGATGCATAAGCCAGAAAAGAATCTCTCTCAATCTCCACAGCTACATGGATGATTTTATAGTGTTAGCAGAAATAAAAATGTATTCTTGTGAGAAAAAAGAGCAAAAACTGTACATACATAAGGACACTATTTGGATGAGTAAAAAAGTGTTTTTACAAAGTCAATTTCCTAAAATTGTATCCCTTCTTTTAAACAAGCCTTTCTTTAAATGTCTTACAGATCAGAAGACAAAGGAATAAAGAGTTCTGGAGAAATCCTCACATACTATGGCCTCTGGAACTGTCCACTGATCTTCCCATTTGCTTAAATAATTGCAAAATAGATTTTTTTCAACAATATATGAGTATTTATATATTATTCAGTTGTAAACTGTAATGACTGACTTGTTTAGAAGATTTAAAGACAGATATTTGTCAGATGTGCAGTGTTCACCATTATCTCTCAAAAATGGACTGGAAATAGAACTAAAAACCCTTCACCTCTGGGTCGCTAGCCAATATAACTCAGGTTTGAAAAGAATAAATATAATGACCTTTTGGTGACTTCCACAAAATGAATTATATGGCTCAGTCTAATTCTTTACAAGCAAATATTCCCAGAAAAAGATTGCTGACAGGAATGGTACTTGATGTAATGACTTGTCTGAAAGATCACTCAGTGATAAACCATGAAACACACTTCAGGTCAGAGATGAGGGACATTACTGAGGAAGGCACACCAATATATTTGTTCTGCTGATGCAAGATTTAAGTTTCGATGGTTGTCAATCATAAGAACTACACTGACAAATAAAAATGAACACAAGCTCTAATTAAAGTAGAAAATATTTCTAATGCAAAATCACAATAAGTAATAACTTTAAATCTAAACAGAAAATCCAAATCATTTAAACATTAAATCATGAGTGAAGATATCTAGTCATACTGTAAACACCCAAAAGCTACCTTTCCTGGACAATAAACAAGGCAGGGTTTTTTAAATTGCGTTTAGTCATCTTGTATGCGTAGTTCAAGATTAATGTATTAATATAGTATTGCTTCTTCTAAAATAACTCAGTGTTCTAGTTATAATGCATTATTAGTGTCCATAACCTCTTCACAAATGAATTTTTCATTTACTGACCAACTGCTATTGTTCACAGACAGAAAAAATACACCTTGAGATAAAATGAATTCTCGAAACTGAAAAAATGAACATTTTGCTTTTTAACTGCATAGACTGTATATGTGGAATCCAATTATAAATGTATTTATTTTCAAAGAAAATCTATTAGAATCAGTAGAGGACAGATCTGTCTTGGTAACAGTTATTTCTAGTTCTTTTCATGGAGGCAAAGTAGATGATAGACTGATGTTCTCAGGCACATCTACACGAGACGTTTACTGCACAGTTAACTAATTAATTGTGTAGTAAACATCTTAGTGTCTGCAAGTGTGCCCCTAGTAGTACACAGGAAGCTAATAAATGCTGCAGCAGGGTAGTACTTGTAAACACAAGTACTACCCTACCATGGAGTTTTTTTATGCACAGCAGTGCACATGTAGACGCTGCCAGGGCTAGTTGGGGCATGAGAATACTTCAGTGCAGGGGCTGCATGCCAGCTAGCCCTGCGCTGAAGCACCCTCGTGCCCCAGCCAGCCTCTCCACAACACTCTGAGCCCAGCTGGAGCAGCCCAAGGCTGGCAGGCTGACTCCCAGACCACTTGCCAGCCGGAGCTGCTCCAACCCAGCTCAGTGTGCTGGGGTCAAGGCACTTGTGTAAACGGGTGCATCCAGGAGATTCCCAGGAGCAGTAAACTGAGGAGCAATAGGCTCTACAAGTGCTGTGCATTAAAGGCATGTGTAGATGCACCCCTTTTGTAGTTCACATTCCCTTCCATTATCATGACTTCAGGCTTTTCAGTTGGCGGGAGAACTGATAAGTCCTTGGTTTCTTGCTGCTTTTCCCTAAAGCTGGAGGAGTATGGGTTTGTTTTGGTTTTAACCCAGAAAAGTCCTTTTTAAAAGACATTCTTCAACTACATAAGGTGAGGAATAGCTGTTCCTGTATTAGGGTATTGGAGATTACAAATAATTCTACAGGACATTTATTTTTTCATTTGTCTATTGCACAAGATCCAATTGACTACAATACAGGAGATATAAGCCATATGACTTTGCTATGCTATCAACCAGATGCATTCTACTCTAAATCCTGTCCAACTTCCTAACCTGCTCGGTCCTTCAAAGATCATAGCATTTCCAAAGTTCAACAGTTGTAGAGGAAATATCAGGCTGGAAAGGGTCCTGAAAGATTAGAAGAGTGAGAACTGAAAAGAGAAATAGAAGTTGAGGTGATGTTAGATACCAGAACAATAATTACAGTAGCCACGTACCTTTGCCAACTTTGGTTTTTGAGCATATTTTGCTAAATTCAGTCTGGACAAGTTTATGAAAGGGCCATCTGGGTTTGTGAGCATTGATGCCTGAAGAAAAGTAATGTATTGAACAGGCCAAACTCTTATGCTTTATACAAACATTTTAAGTATTACCTGAAACAGTCAATGAAAGCAAAAACGAATTACCGTATTTACTTCAATACAAGATGAGCTCCCCCCCAATCAATGTGGAGGAAAAAGCCCCTTGTCTTATATCTGCATACCACCAAATCCTGCCCCCCATGTTAAATACAGTAAAAGCCCTGTTATCCGGCATTTTACTAACTGGAATGCTCTACTAACAGGAATTTCCGGACAGCCAACCGTACGCAAGGGTGGGGGGAGAGGAGGGGAAGCTCATTCACAACTGCCACCCCCTACCCTGCGCTGCCACCACTCCACATTGTAACTATTTCCAGCTCCCCCCACTCCTTTAGTAACAG